TTCCCTGTTCCCATACCCCGTTCCCCATTTCTGTACCACATTCCCTGTTGCTGTTCCCATTCCCTGTTCCCCATTCCCGTACGCCATTCTCTGTTCCACATTCCTCGTTCCCATTCCCCGTCCCCGTACCCAGTTGAGGCTGGGCTGCCCCATTCCCTGTTCCCATTCCCCATTCCCCGATCCCGTTCCCATTCCCCATTCCCATTCCCGACTCCCGTACCCAGCTGAGGCTGGACTGCCCCATTCCCGTTCCCCATTCCCATTCCGATTCCCCATTCCGATTCCCATTCCCATTCCCATTTCCCATTCCCATACCCAGTTGAGGCTGGGCTCGCGGCTGAACTCGTGGCTCTTGGCGGCGCTGAAGTCGTAGTCGGGCCGGAAGGACTCGTTGAGGGTGGCGATCAGGTAGAAAAGGGTCTTGCGGCTGCACGTGTCACTCAGCGGCCCCTCCTCGTCCCCKCCCTGGCTCTTGCCCAGCCTGCAATGGCACCAATGTGTCACCAGCACCACGGGGGACACCAGGACATGGAGGGACACCAGGACACAGGGACATGGAGAGACATGGGGACATGGTGGGACACCGTGACATGAAGGGACACCGGGACATGAAGGGACACGGGGACATGAAGGGACATGGGGACATGAAGGGACACCGGGACAAGAAGGGACACGGGGACACGGAGGGACACGGGGACACGGAGGGACACGGGGACATAGTGGGGCACAGTGGGATACCAGGGTACAGCACGACATGGAAACATGACAGGACACTGGGACACAGCAGGACACGGGACACAGAAGGACACCGGGATCTGGCAGGGGACAGCAGGACACAGAGGGACACGGGGACACAGAGGGACACGGGGACACAGAGGGACACAGACCCCCAGGGCTGTGTGCGATGCAGGAGAATTCCCCATCAAATGGTGGTGGGGTGTGATTCCTACAGAGATCTGGGGTCCCTGTGGAGGTGGCACTTGGGGACAGGGCCAGGGGTGGCCTTGGCTGTGCTGGGGGAATTTGCACCCAACCCCAAAA